GATAGTTTTTGTTTTTCTGAAACACAAAAGAAAAACTCTAGACAACACAAATAATAATGGTGTGAGGTCAAAGAAAATTAGAACAAATAACCAGAAGATTAATTGATTTTTTAAAAAAGTATTTATATTTCATACACACGTTAATCTTTCTTTGCATTATTGCAGGTAAACCTGCCTTTGAAATGGATGAAACAAATCCTGACTGGATTCCAACGCTCCACATGGGTCATTCTGAAGTCTCTGCTTCAAAGTCAGACCGTCACGCACGACTGGAATTATGTGTGCAGAGGTTAAGATCCCTTCATTTACAAGAGGCTTTTGTCAACTTGATACCACAAGAGCTATAGCCCACCTGAGAACACACGTTGAGCGAGTCATCGGGAGCTTGCGCAACAAATACAAAATGTTACGTACCACAATGCCAATCCGAGGACTTATTCCATGTGAGGGTGAAGAGATCACCCTTCTGGACAAGATAGTAAATGTTTGCTGCATTTTGGTGAACATGTGTCCCAGTGTGGTAGTAAAACCAGGGAACAATGAAACCTGCTCTTGTTAAATGTTTATGTGCTGCACTGTGTATACAGGGATGTTTTCTAAATGATTAATTGAATGATCTGATTTTTATTCACACAATTTTACATAAGTTGTGCATTAAACCTTAATGAGATTATGTCTATATATGAACTAATCTGCTTTTGTGCTTTGTAAATACTTAGAATAAAGCAAAACATTTAAAGATTTTCTTCTTTTATTTTTATTCAACTCAAGATTCACTGAATGCTAATCAAGAACTTATCCCTTCATCCTTGATAAGCAATAATATACAGTTAGGGATGCAATGATACCACTTTTTTCCAAACCGATACGATACCGATACTTGGATCTGAGTACTCGCTGATATCGATTACCGATATAGATATTTCTACCACACAAAATAATGCAATGAATTGGAATACAGGTTTTATTTTCTTCTGTTTTCAATAGGAAAAGATTGTGAGGTAGATAAAAAGTAATATAAGTGATCACAAAACTAAAATATTAGGTGAACAGAAATGACAAGTTACAGTGAAGTCACTTTCAAGCAACTGCATTGGTATCAGTTACTGGTATCTGTTAACTTTTACCGATACCGATACTGGTATCAGTATCTGTATCGGCACCAATACCAGTACTGTATCGGTGCATCCCTATATACAGTAAGACAACATGATAGTTTCACATTTTTTGTGTGTTGTAATGCAACGACAGCTTGGTGCAAATATGCAAAAGCTTTTAATTGCACAGTGAAAGAACAGGAATTGTGGTTTGGGTCAGACCCTGCCAGGTGGGTGACTAGGGTTGCCACGGTGTGAAAATGTAACCTCACGGTATTGTGACCAAAATGATCACGGTTTTCGGTATTGTCGCGGTCTTTTTAAAAGGTTGTTGCATATGTTCAGAAAGCATTGATAGTCCTGTTCTACACAAACTGAAATAGTTTAGAAAAGGTTTAACAGTGTTTATTAAACCTAAAATAACACAAAGCCTTAGCAAAAGTGCAACTTTTCACAAGTAAAGGAACAAATAGCTTATTTTTCTGGAACTTGTTACAGTAGTGCAGGTTTAAATGATACAAATCCAAACATTCAAAACATAAACAATATGTAAACAAATCAAAGAAAAACCACTGGTCTTCTCATATACTTGTTTTCTTCATTATCAAAATGAAAATCTAAAACTCCAGTCCACACTTGACTTGAGCACTGTACAAGTCAACCTTAAAAATATGTATTTAAAATAAATGGCCACTTTAAACAAATGACTAAAATAACTACTACACTGTAATCAAATCCAAATGTTCAAGTATAAATGGCATTGAAAAAAGTAAACAAATCAATGGCAAGGAACTAATTGTATATTTCTCTTCATCATCAACATGGGGCGACGGTGGCACAGGAGTTAAGTGCTCGCCCCGTAATCGGAAGGTTGCCGGTGACATTCACAATGACCCATGGAAGCAAAGCCGGTTCATTGAGCCTTTGGGAGTGCAATACGTGCAACAGAACAACCACATAAATGTCATGGCATTAACTTGAATAAGGCCAGGGCAACACAAATGTATGCTATTTTTTAGTCTTTTATTTATGTAACAATGGATGTGTTTAGAAAATTGGCGTTTATACTGGGGGGAATATTGGACTGGCATAATGTAAGGATGTCATAACTTTCAATAGAAAATAAGCATCTAGTTCTATTTAAATTTCAGCTTTAAGTGAGTTATGAATATATAATGTGGTTAGGGGTTTCTGAAATCCATCAATAAGTGCATGAAACTAAATTCAGATTTATATTTTTATTATCACAGAACACAAATCAGCTACAAAGTTGCAACTTGTTTCAGAGTGAGTTGGATTCGCAAAGTTATCAGAATTTTGATTGATCGTTACTAATGAAGTTGTACTGAAAGTTGTAAAAGTGACTTACCTTTGCATGAATGATCACATATTCGCAATGACGAGGCTTAAAAATATCCAAATCATGCACCCAGCCATTGGTGAACTGAATGTGCGCCTCCAAAGACTTGTAATTCTGAAACTGTTTTGCGGTGTAGGCACCGATTCCACAGACCACATACGAAAATATATCTGGGAAGGACAAAGGGGGTAGATCGTCTGGGTCTCTTCGCCATTGCCGTAGCTCATACGGGTCCACATTTCCAAGACACTCGATCTTCTGTAAGTGTCTTTTTTTGGCATCCTGACACAATTTGTCTCGATATATTCCTTTCTCTTTGGAGCTGATTTTAAGCATGATTAGTTACCTTCTTCTCTACCACTTCTCTCGTTTGTTTTGGTTGGTCGGGGGGGGGGGGGGGATCGAGGGAGAGTGAAGAGTACATTGACTCCTTCAGTTGATGTCCTCGCCAGGATGAGTCCACCAATCCATGGTCAGGTTTTCACAGCATCTGTCTGCATTCCTTTGTGGGGGATTTAACTTCTCGTAGTTTAAGGTTACCAGGGCGCCAGATTCAGATTGGAAGAATTGTTGGGGTCAGGCAGAGATAATTTTCTCTCTGCCTTTCAGTCTTTAACTGATCGTTCCAGTCCCTCAGTGAATCCAATTTTTGGGCTTAAACTAGCCCATACCATGCATTGACTTTCTCTGAGATCACATTAGTTTTGTGCACTAACACCAGGATCCAGAGGTGGAAAGTAACGAATTATATTTACTCACGTTACTGTAATTGAGTAGCTTTTTTTTTTGTATATTTACACTTTTTAAGTCATTTTTTAAAGGAGCATGGGGCAGGAATTGTCCAAAAACAAGAAGTAAATAGGATACATGTTCATTCTTGTGAAGCTTATGGGTGATGAAGCATTCTAAACTAAAAAGAATGATGAAACCAGTTTATCATTCCATTTTGTTAAACAGGCTGTGTGCTGCCAAATGCAAAACATTTCTGATCCGAATTTCACGCGCAGTTTTACGGATGTGACGTTAATTGACGCTTCAAGCGCGTTCTCGACAAGGTTCAAACCCAGAAAAACATTTGGAAGCTTGCTAGGTGGCGGTAATGCGTCTCACTACTAGCCACGTTAAAACCTCAAACAGAAGA